CTACAGAACCAAAGCACTTTTCGCCTTTGAGGAGATTGATGGTGTGGACGTTTGCTTTTTTGGCATGCACGTGCAGGAGTATGGCTCCGAGTGTCTATTCCCTAATAATAGGTCTGTACAGGACCTTATTAAATGTAGTACAATAAAGGAACAGTAATTTTAGTGGGCTTTTCATTTATAAAATGTAACACCCCCCCTCCTCTGCAGGCGTGTCTACATATCATACCTTGACAGTATTCACTTCTTCAGACCTCGGATTCTACGAACAGCAGTGTACCATGAGATCCTCATCGGCTATCTAGAATACGTCAAGAAACTCGGGTATGCGTCACCTTTCTATTCTTCTGCTTCGCCTCTTGAAACCTTACAACATGGAGAAGAGTCTTGGGCAGGAACCTAATGATGGGATCCGTTTGTAGGCCAAAATATGTTCTAGCCACTACACGGTCTCTCTGGTCTGACTTTTGGTTTCTGCCTATCCACAGGTACGCCCAGGGCCACATCTGGGCATGTCCTCCCAGTGAAGGAGATGACTACATCTTCCACTGCCATCCCCCAGATCAGAAGATCCCAAAGCCTAAAAGGCTGCAGGAATGGTACAGGAAGATGCTGGACAAGGCCTTTGCAGAGAGGATTCTTCATGACTATAAGGTGAGGAGTAATTTTCTTTCAAAAATGTGATAAGGGCTTATAGAGGAATATGTGGTCTGTAATATTTAGAACAAAGGGCAAATTTACATTCACAATACATTGATTATTTGTTTTGTTACTTTTAGTTTATTTTGTTCCTGATCACATCCTTTTTTGACTTTTGTGTGGCGTTTTTATTTTTGTTGATGTTTTTGCTGGTGTTGGTTTGTTTGCAGGATAACTCAAAAAGCATTAAATAGGTTTTGATGAAGTCTTTGCTTCTAAGTCCATACATGCCTACAGTGCTTGGACACAAATTGCACAATGACATCCACACACCAAACTATAATCTGGATCCAAGTAATATTCCATACGTGGTGATCAAGAATGTTAAGATTTATAGGACTCTCAGAAAACCTTCTGCTGTGAGACAAATTGTGCTACAGGCTTGCAGTTAAGATCAAGTTCTAGCTGAGTCTCTGTTGACTCACCAGGGTCTCAACAGATTTGGTGTATGTTTAAAAGTTACTCAGTTTAGATCCTGAAGAAAGCCTCCATTACTCATATACATTTTCTTGAATCGCCTTCAAACTAATAATATCGGTGTAATTCCAAATGCCAGTGGTAGGTTTTCATGGTCATTGAATCATATTATGAGGATATTGCTTCTAGTTGTAATGGCATTATGGGGACAGTGAGCCACCTTGGTGGAAGTTTGCACTCTCTGACTGCTGTTTAGTTGATTCATGCATGTTTTTGTCTTTCTCTCAGGACATCTTCAAGCAGGCAACAGAGGACAGACTGACCAGTGCAAATGAGCTGCCCTACTTCGAAGGCGACTTCTGGCCCAACGTGTTGGAGGAGAGCATCAAGGAGCTGGAGCAGGAGGAGGAGGAGAGGAAGAAGGAGGAGAACACAGCTGCTTCTGAAACCCCTGAGGTCAGAGCATTGTGTAATGTGTTACTGTCCTCAGTTGGCATTTTAGACTTCAAAACATCTATAGATTGTATGACCAATTAATGCAGTCAATGTGTCAGATCATCATCCAAGTAGAGACTAACAAAGTTTAAGCTAATCACACACAATTAATCTTTTATGTCTTTACTGTACACAGCCATTTAATATTCACAGTGCTGGTGGAAAATACAAGTGAACCCTTGGTTTTAGTAACTGGTTGACCTTCCTCAGGCTGCTCTAACCTCAAACAGGCTTTTACATTAGCTGAGCATAAGTCCTGAAACAACGTTCAGTAGCAATTTTGGAACGCTGTCCCTCACAGAACCGTTTCAGCTCAGACATATTCTTAAGATGTCTGGTATGGACAGCTTGAGTTGATGTCTGGGCTCTTACTGGGCCACTCCAAAAGTAGCAGTAGATTTACTTTAATAGGGTCATTGGCATATTGAAGACGACCAATATCCCTACTGTAATGAGTACTAACTGGACAGACTGAGTCTATTAAACTTCTTGGAGAGACAATATGTGAAATGTTTATAAGCTGTTTCCTTTAATATCTGTCATTGCATATCTCCTTCAGGGTACGCCAAGTGACAGCAAAAACGCAAAGAAAAAGAACAACAAGAAGACCAATAAAAACAAGAGCAGCGTGAGCCGAGCCAATAAGAAGAAGCCTGGGATGCCAAATGTAGCAAATGATCTGTCCCAGAAGTTGTATGCCACCATGGAAAAGCACAAAGAGGTAAGACCCTGTTTGGTTTTTATGATTTAAGTGACACTTAAGGCTGTTTTTGTACATATGAGTATGTTTAAGTACACATTTCAGTTTTGCTTGTGCTTCTGACTTTCATTAGTCTTTTTCCTTTTTCTACTGAAGGTGTTCTTTGTGATCCACCTTCACTCTGGTCCCATGGTCAATACCCTGCCACCTATTGTTGACCCCGACCCTTTGCTCTCCTGTGACCTGATGGACGGCCGTGATGCCTTCTTGACTCTAGCCAGGGACAAGCACTGGGAGTTCAGCTCCCTCAGGAGGTGCAAGTGGAGTACCATGTGCATGCTAGTTGAGCTGCACAACCAGGGACAGGACCGCTTTGTTTACACTTGCAACGAGTGCAAGCACCATGTGGAGACACGCTGGCACTGCACTGTGTGTGAGGTGGGTTGCTACTATTGCACTGGAATTTTTTGTGTCTGAACCAGAATCAAACACTGAAAAACAAATTTGAAGTGGAGGCCTGTCAGCTTTTAAATATACAGATCATGAGAGACATTAAGCCGATGGATGTGGAGTTGTATAGATGCCCTAGATCAGAAAGATAATTTGTGAAATGTTTGATGAAGCTCTTGATTAGATTAAACTCTTGCTAATTTCTGTAACCCGGTCTCTCCCTTTTCTCAGGACTTTGATCTTTGCATCAATTGTTATAACACGAAGGGCCACGAACACCAGATGGTGAAGTGGGGTCTTGGCCTGGATGACGACAACAACAGCCAGAGTGGAGAGGCCTCCAAGAGTCCACAGGAGAGCCGGCGTCTAAGTATCCAACGCTGCATCCAGTCCCTGGTCCACGCTTGTCAGTGTCGCAATGCCAACTGCTCTCTGCCATCCTGCCAGAAGATGAAGCGAGTGGTTCAACACACCAAGGGCTGCAAGCGCAAAACCAATGGTGGCTGTCCTGTATGCAAGCAGCTTATTGCTTTATGCTGTTACCATGCAAAGCACTGTCAGGAGAACAAGTGTCCTGTCCCATTCTGCCTGAACATCAAGCACAAGCTTCGCCAGCAGCAGCTGCAGCACAGACTCCAGCAGGCCCAGCTGATGAGGCGAAGAATGGCCATGACCATGCAAGGCAGAACCATGCCGCTACCATCCCCGCCAGCCTCAGCTGCCCCCAGCACGCCCACTTCCCATACCCAACCTAACACTCCCCAGACACCCCAGCAGCCACTTTCCAACCAACCACAGACGCCCAACTCAGCAGGTGTCATGTCTCCCTCTTTTCCTAATGCACCTCGCAATGGCCAAACTCAAGCACCAGTTTCCCAGGGCAAACCTGGGCCCCAGGCCTCCCCTCTACACCAGCAGCAGTCCCCTCTCCCCCAGCCACCGCAGCTACACCTGCCGTTATCACCAAATTCCAGAAATGCTATTGTAAAAATGTATTAGATACGGGGCGGTCATGTTCAAGTTAAAGGGCCCAGCAGAACTATCGTGTCAACATGAATGGTTTGCCTATGAACCCTCAGCAGCCACAGCAGCGCATGACGGGCCCGATGCAGCCACCCATGCAAATGGTGTCAGGGCCACGGTGACCACAGGTCATACCACCCGGCATGGCCCCAGGACAGTGGCCTGGAGCTGCAGGACCTATGCAAGCAGCTCAAACTCAACAACCGGGCCTTGTCCCAGGCCAGACCCCACAGCAGGCCATGACCATGCAGCGAGCCATGATGCCTCCTGGGCAGCAACCTCAGCAAGGCCAGAGGATGCTAATACCACAGCAGCCTGGTGCCCGGGCACAAACACCGCAAAGACCTGGTGCTATAGCCCCCAATGCCCTGCAGGACCTTCTCCGCACCCTCAAGTCTCCCAGCTCACCCCAGCAACAGCAGCAAGTCCTCAACATCCTCAAATCAAACCCTCAGCTAATGGCTGCTTTCATCAAACAGCGAACAGCCAAGTACCATGCCAACCAGCCGCAGCAGCAGCAGCAAGCGGGTCAGCAGCAGCAGCCTGGCATGGTAGCAATGCAGGCCATGGCCATGCCAGGAGGGGCGGTACAGAGGCCAGGGATACCCCCTCAGCAGCCCCAGCAGCCTCCTGCGCAGGGTATGGCAGCATTAGGGCCTCAAGGGCAAATGATGAATGCAGCTCACAACACCAACCCCCAGATCCAGGAGCTTTACCGTCGACAGGTGTTAAGACAGCAGACAGATGCATCTAATGTTGAGTTTATAAAGAATATTGTAAACATCTCATACAATCAAATGTATTAAGTGGAATGCAATTTTTAAAGTTAAATTTGCCATTGTCAGTGTATCTATATTAACAGTGGATCAGATAACATGTAATGCAAAAGGTCCACCCACCACTCTGTGTGCAGCCGAATCCTTCAGCTCTGGTCTTCACCCTGAGCTCCAGGACAGCGATGAGGCTCTGGCCCTGCAGCTGCAGCAGGAGCTGGACCGAGAGGCAGCGGAAGCCCAGATGGTGGATCTGGAGGATGGAGGCCTTTTCTTTTGTCAGATCTGCCACAAAGACCTCTCACACATGACCCCTGAGGGGCGCACCCAGCATCTGAACAGGTCTGGACATTTATATTTATGCAGTAGGCATTCTCATCCAGAGTGATTTGCATCACAAAAATCAATTTGAATTTTTGATTGCACGCCATAGACTGGTGGACTCATTGAGAGTGAAAACAATCCCTGTTTGGTAGGTGTTTAGATCAGAGTGAAGAAAGAACCCCAGCCCCTCCTCCTCCTGCTGCTCCTCCTCCTCCCCCTGGTGTCCCTGACTGTCCCATCTGTGGCAAGAAGTTCAAGTCCCAGAAGAGTCGCTCAGCGCACCTGAAGCGCTGCTCGACAGATATGGGCATCTCTCCGGCTGTGCTGCTACAGGCTCTGCAGAGACAGGCTGAGGAGACCCAGAATGTCCCTGCTGCTAACACACTGTGAGTCCCCATCAGTTGAACCACAAGTTAGTTAAACAGGGAGTTAATATAGATCAAACCCTGTGAACAATTTATATTACATTTTTTATGAATAACAAATAAGAATTTACATAAATACAAATTACATCCTGCACATTCAGTCAGAAGTATCACACGCATAAAGCAAAAGGAAAATACCACAGCACACCTCTGAACATAGTGTCAGTCACAACATTCAATGCACCAGCTCTACAGGCCTTTTTGAGGTATCCAAAATTTGGCCACTGATAGTGACTGCTACCATCCACACAATCCATGTGTGGATCCTGTTTCAACGATAGCTCATCTGATCTTTTCCCGTAATAGGAATCTCTTTTTTCTCTTCAGTTCACAGACCGGAGGCACCAAAAGAAAAGACCCCTCCAAGCCGGGGCTCCCAGCAACAAAAAAGCCCAGGAAGCAGACTGATCGCCTCGACGAAGACACTATGGTGGCTCTGGCTCTGTCCTCCTCTCTGCAGGAGCAGGACAGGAAGGCAGAGAGGCGATTGCAGACAGAGGGGGCTACCTGTCACACCTCCATAACTCCAGTGCTGAAGTGGAGGCCAGACACAGGTACAGCGCTTTCACTATGTCCTATGTGTGCAATAAAGCAGTGTCTACTACTGTCTATTAGACATTTACCATACAAATGTGGAGCAATAACTGGGAAATAAGTGGATTTAGAAGACAGTGGTGCTATTTTTAGGATAGTATTCAAATGTACAAGTGATGAAAGAGAGATTATACTTTAAACACTCAAATTACATACAGATGTGTGGCCATTCAGATCTAGGTAGCACCTGAATCCTCTCCTCTCCTCCTGCAGGTGCAGTTAAAGGGCATGGGAAGAAGAAAAAGGGTGCCATCCCTCGTCCTCTGCCACTCCTCCTTGTTCAGGATGCTCAGATGGCTCTGACCAGGCTGCAGGAGCGTGTTTCTGCTCTCCTTCTACACAGCAGGGCTCCATCTCCCCCCACCCCAATCCTGTGCCCTAGCAGCCTGCCTGGCTGGAGTGGTGCTGCCCCCCTCTGGCAGAAAAGCGCACTGCTGGATGGGGACTCCACCTGTCTGTCTGATTTCTACACTCCAGAGCTCAGGGACTTCATCACGCCGTGGGAATCAGCAGTGGTGAGAGAGACCAAAGAGATGTTTACACACTCTTTTATATTACTTCTGTCGTGTTTGAATAGACTGAATGTTCGGCTGATGTTCTTTTTTTAAATCAAATGCTACTGAAGATTGGGAAACACACCGCTTTGTAGTTCTGTACTGTCCTAGAACGAAACTTTAAAATTTAGCTTTTATTTTTCTGGTCTGAATTCACATTTGATAGACTTAATATGGTGGTGAATTTAGTAGCTTTAATAAAGTGTCTTAACTTTAAAGCAAACCCGTTGAATTTTGGGATGTAGATGCAGTAGAATGTTAACAAATGTCAGTCTAATTAAATTAATTGTGTGTTATGTTAGATTTTGAATGCAAATTTCACTTTTTCACAATAGAATGAAAACATAAAATGAAGTGTAAATATTTTGTCGGCGGTTGAGTTTGAACAAGAAAACAATTGATGAAATTTGAAAGATGTATTTCACTGCATTGTGTGTCAGAGCAATAAAAACATTAATTACAGTTGTGCTGTCTGTTTAAATAGTATTGACAAAATGAACTTGGTATGAAAAAATTTGAGTAATGAATTGTTGTAATTAATTTTCACAATTTCCATTTACAGAGTTGATTTTAGTTGTTTAAATAAACACATTGAATAGTTGACCAAATAGCTGATATCGACTCACGGCTAAGTTAATCTTATGGTGGTCTCCTCCACTTCTAGACTGATGCAGCCTTCTCTAACACCAGCAACAAGCCCGAGTCCTCTGTGCAGCCTGTGAGTGAAGGAAGTCCTGTCACAAAAACAAGGACCTCCATCCTGCCTTCCTCCTCCCAGACTGCTGCTGCCTCCTGCTCCCCAGCTCTCCCCACCCCAGAGACAAAGCAGCTCCCTGTGGGCAGCCAGGCCCTGAGAGACCTGATGGAGCTGGCTGAAGACGGCATGACCCTCACACAGTGTGGCTTCTCTGCCTCTGGCCCTGACAAATGTAAGACACACAGACTGAACTGCAAAATATTTCTTTACCTTTGGGGAGTTATAACGTGTACCCAAGTAAACAGTACAAACGTTCGCAGTGTCTATAGAAAACGCATTGTTTTCATGTTTTATGAAGTGGAAATGCAAGAAATCTTAAACTAACAAAGTGGAAGCAAAACTGACATTAATGGTTTAAGCTGACATTTTAGGCTGCCTTGTTGTTTTTCCTTAAGAATACATTCATATCAACTCATATAATTTTGTAAACACTTTGTAAACTGATCCTAAGATCTGGTCCTGGTTGCCTTTGTTCTCACAGACAAGCAGAGCAGTGCTAGCCTGTCCGCAAACCTCCATCTGAGTGGATTTGTCCTGGAGGAGGCAGAGGAGCATGATGACCTCTGGGTGAGCGGCTTCCTGCCAGAGCCGACGCACCCACACTCAAAGGACACCAACAGCCAAGTGAGGAGAGAAACTGGTCAGCCAGGAGCAGATAAGGAGCAGGTAGGATCACCTGAAGTCACAAGAGATCATAAGGGTTCAGATCTTCTCTACATACAGATTTATTAACCTTGGAGTTTTACATATGGATGCCAATTTTCAAATTAAAACACTTTGTAAATTTACTTTGTAGTTCTAACTTTATATAATAAGAAACGTTGAAGTGTGTCTTGACTGGTGTGGCCATTGCAGGTGGCACTGCCCAGACTGGCGTCAGACCTGAGTACCATGGTGAACAACCCTCAGCTCAGTGATGTGGAGCTCCAAGTGGACAGTGGAGACGTCTACTTTGCTCATTCCTTCATGGTGTACACTCGCTGCCCCCTGCTGACAGAAATGGTAAAAATCATCCCCGTGTGTGGCAAAGTCTTGTTGGTTCAGTTTTTGTTTTGCTTTTAAATGAGGTACACAAAAAAATCTGCATAATGTTCTGGTAATAAATGCAGTTTGACTGAAAGCAGACAAATTAAGAGTAGATTTCAGTTCAATTTGCAGATTCCACAAATCATTGCTGAATTTTTTCCAAAGTGTCTCAATTTTTGGGGCCACATTAAAAAGAAAGATGTGGCTGTTGTTCAGGTGGATTAAGATCAGGACAACAAGCAGGCCACTTTGGAACACACCAGTGTTTTCTGCTCATCCATTCTTGATGTTTTAGATGTACTCCATGGGTTATTGGAGGAGCCATGAGCTGCTACTGGAACAGAGCTCTCCAACACTGGGAGCTATGTTTCTTTCCTGAATGTCTTGATTATCTTCTGATTTCAATGGCTGTGTTCCATTCACTTCTGCAGGCATGCCGCTTTTTATGTATTGGCAAGGGTGGGGAAACTCATTTAAATGATGTGCAGATGCACGTGAGGCAAGCGATATGACGAGCTCAGCATGAGTCGCGTGTCCTGTCTGCAGAGTTTCTGATTCATAATCAAAAGCTCTGGGCCACTGGGAGGAGATGTTGCCTGCATTTTCTGACCACACAGCGGTGCTGTTCACTGTTCTATCGGACGCCCCGTGATATTTTGTTGATTTTCTGTGGCTTCAGGTCATCACACGTGGCATGTGCCATTTCATGTGCTGAACGTAGACGAAACAGAAACCGTGCCCGGTTTACTTTCTTGTCTTTGAAGGATGTTTTTGTTTTGTTCACTGTGAACTGATGTGACAAAAAAGTTCTCATTTCATTTAATCTTCCTGACATTTTCCCAGAGGTATTGTGGCCTGTCAACAAACAGTTTAGCAAACTCCAGTTAGTTTTCTTTCAAAAGTGTCTTCTATGAAGACCACTTTCATTCAGAAAGCGACATGTGGTGTGATGCTAAATATCACCGCTTTTCTCACAGCTTCTTTTTTTGTTCTGTGATAAACCACAGACATGCGGGTATGCACAACAAAAGAACTTTTAATTTCATTGTTTCAGCGAGGTGGAAACCAACACTTTTAGACCCATGTCCTTTGAGATTTTTCAGCGTTTAACTTTTTTCCTCTTTCATCCACCCTCCGCTCCTCTCACAGGTGCATGAGAGTGGTTTTGGGGTGCAGGAGGATAACATGCCTGCAGCTCGGAGAGTTTTGATGAATGACGTCCCGGGACCGGCAGTGTTGGCTCTGCTGCAGTACCTCTACACAGCCCGCTGCTCCATCCCACCCTCGCTGCTTCCTCATGTGCTCGAGCTGGCATCCAGGTTCGTTTCAGCCCTAAGCTTTTTTATAGTTTTTTTTTTTTTAAAGAATACTTTAAACCAAACCTTGCACTTTGATCAGCCTTACATTTAAAACATGTATGTTCCAGTTCTGATGTAGCTAATCTCACTTTCCTGATTTTGTTCTCATATATTATGGGCTGTCTATTGTAAAGAAACTAAAACTGCTCTACTTTTCTGTTGCTGCTGTTTTTTTAATTCACATGATTGCAGAGAAGAATACCCTCTCATCTCAGAACAGTTGTTTGACTCAGCATTTTTGAAGTGACCCCCTGTATACAGGAAAAATACAAGAAAACACAGCAAAATCAGTTTATTGGTATGTTGACTCCTCTCTCTTTGTTTTCTGGTTAAGGTTTGACTTGCAGGAGCTACGGCAGCTTTGTGTACTTCAACAAGAGGCAGCAGCTGATGAGCATGAGGAGAACATCAGCAACACATGTCACCAGCAGCAGTCCCCTCTCCCCCAGCCACCTCAGCAGCTTCAGCAGCAGCCTCCGCTTACTGCCATCAAGATTACATGGCACATTGAGGCTGCTCAGAACCAGCAGAACTACCAGGTCAACATGAACATTTTGCCAATGAACCCTCAGCAGCCACAGCAATGCATGACCAGCCCAATGCAGCCACCCGTGCAAATGGTGTCAGGGCTGCGGGGACCACAGGTCATACCACCCGGCATGGCCCCAGGACAGTGGCCTGGTGCTGCAGGACCTATACAAGTAGCTCAAACTCAACAACCGGGCCTTGTCCCAGGCCAGACCCCGCAGCGAGCCATGATGCCTCCTGGGCAGCAACCTCAGCAAGGCCAGAGGATGCTGATACCACAGCAAGCTGGTGCCCGGGTGCAAACACCGCAACGACCTGGCGCTATAGCCCCCAGTGGCCTGCAGGACCTTCTCCGCACCCTTAAGTCTCCCAGCTCGCCCCAGCAACAGCAGCAAGTCCTCAACATCATCAAATCAAGCCCTCAGCTAATGGCTGCTTTCATCAAACAGCGAACAACCAAGCACCATGCCAAACAGCCGCCGCAACAGCCAGCCGGTCAGCAGCAACAGCAAG